GAAGAGAAAAGCCACATTTGCAGCTAACAGGTTGTATGCGAGCAGTTGTGTTACCTTCAGTTTCAGATAGCACAGCAAGAATCCTGAGACCTTACAGTTCAGGGAAAAGAGGAGGTTCAGCCAAAACTCAGAGCCCTCTCTGAACAAGTTTTTTTGGGTTTTGTCTCTCCAAAACCTAACCATTCTGATGAGTTTGGCTAAATTCGGAAGCACGTAGTTTGAGGCCTTCTGTTTAGTTTCATGTTTGCATATGGAAGTCAGCTTGAGAGTTAAGATGCCAGATCTGCCTGTTAGGTTGCAGTTTAGTGCTTGCATGTTCCTGAAAGTTACTTGGTTTTGAGAGGATCAAGACTGGTGTGTGACATTTCAGGAGCGTGGAAAAGCTGTGCTTAGAGATATTTGCTACGTATGGAATCAAAAATGGCTGGGGATGCTTGCTGTGTGTGACCGGTTCTAGCTAAAACGAGGGAGCTGCCTTGTTGTGAGGCTCTTCGGCAGCGCCTCTTCTCCACTTCCATGGGAACAGATGGGCTTTTGTTGATAAGAGGTCTGTCATCAAACTAGGAAACTGATGGGCAGTAGTTGAGCCACTATTACTGTAAAACGGGGCAGACTGCAGACTGAGGACATCACATGCAGTATGTGTTCAAATGTAGTGGCTAAAAATACCCTTCCTTCTTCCTCCTCTCAGGCACAGATGCCCCAGTGTGAAAGGAAGAGTCACTCTGGCGTAGACTTGATTAGATCTACAGCAGACAAGGGGATTAGCTGCAAAGGGAATGCTTTATGTTTTGACCTATACAAAGAGCAGCAGTTTTTAACAGTTGTTGAGGCAAATTAGTGTTTGTGCCTTTTAAATTTTTTGCGGACTCTGAAGGCTGTCTCAGTTTGGAGCAGTTAATCTTTTAAGTTTCATTTTGTTGCTTAATTTATATGTATTTATTTGTACTCGGGGAAGTTTTCAAAGCAAAATCCAGTGATACATGCAGTACCTAGACTAAATTTTATAGCTTTGGTAAGTCTGGGAAAATCTGACCATAGTTCTGTTAAGAATCTTTTCATAGAGGCATAGCACTGGTTTTTAAGTGTCCAGATGATACGTGGTAATCTTTATTCTCTGGAAATGACTTGGAGGCCAGTTCGAGGTATAGAATCGATGGATTTACTGGATGCTTTTCTTAAAATGTCTTGCAGCAAAGTGATTTAATTACTTAAAGTCAGTTCTTTCATTTCAGTGGGTTGATGATTAAAAAGAAGAGACAGCAATGGCAGATGTAAAGCCAGATCCACCACTGCAGAGGGTTCTTACATGTGTCCCAACTTTTTAGTTGCATTTCACTAATGGAAGTTAGCGGCTTCAGTTCTTTTGAAAGCTGAAATTTTATGTGACTGTTCTGCAGTTGTCATAATAGCTACCTAACTTCCTAGCAGCCATCAGAATTCCAGCCTTGTGCACGTGACTGCAAAGTTGTCCTGAATTTAAGGTACTTCAGTACAAATAAATCATTTTTGCTTGACCAAGCACTGGGAGCAGCTCCAGCGGTGTCTATTTGAGACACTGTCAGAAAAAATGATTTTTGTAGATACCTGTGTTGTGGAGGTGACTCCTCTTGAAATGATAAATGGACATGGAGCTTTGTAAAGAAAACAGTACGTTAATTGCTTCTGGAAGGGTGCACACTGAAAGATCCAGAAAGGGGAAAATGGGGGCGTTTACAGGGTGACTGTGTGTATAAGCTCTCTGGTATATAATATAGGGAATGGATAGTTGGGCTGTGTGCCAGGGTGTGAATGGAGCTGTGACAGCCAGTTAAAGTGATCCTAGAAAGGACAACTGGCTATGAAGATACATCGGTCTGGGTGTGAAGCAGGAAAAAGTCCTTGAGGCAGACAAAGCCACTGAAGACGGGGAGCTGTGGAGTATTCGTTATTGCAGGAGAAGTCCCCTGAACAGGTTGTACATGCGTATGTGTAGGCCGTTCACCTTACTATGCCTTTTATCCAGCTACTTTTTTTTCCTGTCACAAAGCTTAATGTATGCCTCAGCAATGCTCCCTCACTGGCATTTGGCTTCAGGCCAGGCATTAATGGGTACCCCAAGCTCTGTGTGATTTGGCTCCTCCAAATCTATTAGCATATCTTCAGAGCAAGATAAAACTCATTAAAATAATTTACATTTGGGCATTAGAATTTCTGATAATTTTTAATACCTACTGCCAAAAGCACCAATATGTGGTAATATCCTCCGTATGAAGCTACAATTTACCCCGTGTTTTTATTCTTGGAAAAAGAACAGGCTGCCATATCCCTTAACTGCTCTCTGATGGTAATGACCTGAGTTTGTAGTGCACAATCTTATCGAAGGTTTGATGGGTGCTGTCTTTGATAAAGGCTTGCACGCTATTGCATAAGGTTTGGCTTATTGGGAATCACATCAAAATGCATGATGTTTGTGTTCTATTGTGTTGTAAATTACTCTAGTGATGGCAGCTGAGGGATCTAACAACCAAACTTCCCGGTCATTCAAGCTATGTGCCAAAATCTTTGCATGACTGAACTGTAGACTGGGGCTTCAAACGGCGCCCTCTGCCTCCCTAGTCTCTATGCAATTCACTTTTTTACATACCTGTTTTTGATCTCCATCTTCCTGCTCAGTATCCCAGAGCTGCCTGCTGGTGTCATCCACCTGCATTTCGTATCCTGGAGTGGAATCCGTTTCTGCACAGAACCCTGTCTCGCAGTCAGGACGGTGGCTGAGAGACGTGCGCCGTTTTCTTGCTTAAAGGCAGTTCAGCAGACATCAGCTGATCCGCGTCAGCTCTCCATCTGCTAGCTTTTACCTCAGAGCCCGTAACAGAGCACACTTGAACTGCTCCTGACCTGTGGTCAGATTACCCTTGCTAAATGACTGAACTGTAATGCATGCTAAAACAGTGCTTGTAAATAAAAGAAATGGGAGCCCACAGTAGTAACTGCACAAAAGATAGCCTGAATATTTTTATCCGTATAAAAGTACTTAGGACCTTTTAAAATATCCTGAAATGGGCTGTAAAGGTGCATGTCATTGCTCACCTCGAGTTGTGTAGATGTGGCCCTGCTGCTGTGCTAGTTCCCCGATGGAAGTGCTGGCACCTGGGTCTGTACATCCTACCATCTGCCTTTTCAGTTGGGAGTTAAGGAACAGCCAGGTAGCTACTACCCCCTGTAATTCCCTGAGGAGATTCAGATTCTGCTCTCTTTCTGCTTTACCAGATTTCATGTCCGTAAGTGCTGAGATTCTTTTGTAGGCAGCAGTCAGCAGTGAGGCAGATGAGAGTGTTGATATGTCACGTATTTTGAAAGGCAGCAAACACTGATCTTCAGAGTTTAATTTTCTGAAGCATTCCCATCAGCTATAAGAATTTTAAGGCCTGCACTTGCAAATTCTTGTCTGCTTTTCCTTTTTTTTCTTATTTCTTCTCATCACCTTCTAAAAAGGAAATGTAGTGAGATAGGAAAAAAAAAAAAAAGTCGGAAACAGCAATAATTGTTTATGAGTATTCTGGGGTTTTGGTGGATATCTTTATAACTGTGTGTATATGTAGTATGTGATCTGTGGGTCTGCATTCATTTTGTCTTTCTCTTTGCATTTCCTCATCTTCCTGCATTCAGGCGATGCTAATCATGTGATAGTTTTGATACTTTCGTGACTTGAGGCTTTAAGTATATCTTCTTTTTTTTTTTTTTTTAATCTCTGATCCAGCATTTTGTTGGCCATTGTCGCTAAGGTAAAGAATCCCGGAAAGCTGAGAAGAAACAAAAGTGCTCTGGGAAAAGTGTTGTTGTGGTGCTTAATTTTAAAGGCAGGGGCAGGTTCTGTGCCATGTTTATTTGCAACACTAAATAATCTTTTTGAGGAGAGGCAATTTCAAACTATAGCATGGCTTTGTTTACAGAACGTAATGCTACTTTATTCAAGAGACTACTTGCAGTCAGCGTACTAGGCTTGACTATTGGCAACAATTGACAGAAATTCAATAAAAAATAAAGCATTGAAGTTTTTAGGGCAAGTATGCTTTGAAGTACCACTTTGTGCTTTTTAAAGCTACCTGTTTACATGGCTCTCTTCTTTGACTCCTGACCTTTCATTCATTTTCGAATAAAGTTATGGCAAGAGAAATATCCCTTTAAAATAAAAAGAAACTTTGTTCATCTACATTTGCTGTTTGTACATGTTTAACTTGCTTTAATAACATAGAAAATGCTCAATAGGCAAGTCACTGTTTCTGCTGTCCAATTTAACTTGGTTTTAACTTGGTTTGGCAAAACCTGCTGAAGCCGCCAGCTGTACCTGAGACTGGGCCTGTGCTAATGTTATCATGAGGGAGTTGTTTTGTAAAATTCTCTATAATATAGATGTTGCCTAAAATCTTTAACATATCCAGTGTGCAACCAGGGCAAATGTAGAAAAGCTGGATGAAATCACATTTGTGCTGAAAGCATCAGGTTTGTCAGCTGAACTCAGGAAAATGTGTTCGTTAGATGTGATAAAGAATCAGATTTTCTTGGCTTACGGATTTCAGACAGAATTTTTTGGTGATGACAGATATACTTAAAGCCTCAAGTCACGAAAGTATCAAAACTATCACATGATTAGCATCGCCTGAATGCAGGAAGATGAGGAAATGCAAACAGAAAGACAAAATGAACGCAGACCCACAGATCACAGGCACAGATCTCAGTCTAGTTATGTTGTTAAAAGTACTTGTGGACTTACAGTGACTTTCTTACTCAAGCATGGGGTTTTGGCACTAAAATCCTTTGGCTATTTTAAATTACTCGTCCAGCTTTTTGTTCACCACGTGAGATGCAGTGGAGCAACATAACTAGCACCGGTTTTTTATAGGTTCATCTTACAAGAGCAGTCTTTGAAACAAGAGTGGGAAGAATAAGCTAGTACTGTCACCAGTGTTGCTGTATCTCGAAATGTGGTAAGCTTATTTTTTGTTTGCTTCCTTCAGGTTTTGAATGAAGAATGCGATCAGAATTGGTACAAGGCAGAACTCAATGGAAAAGACGGCTTCATTCCCAAGAACTACATAGAAATGAAACCACATCCGTAAGTAGAGCTTTGGTGACAGGCTCCCTTCATCTTGCTTTTGCACATCCCCTCAAACGGAAGGGTTTCTGTGCAATACTTTGCAAATATACCTTGCCACGTCTGCCAGAATGTAGAGGGAGATAAAGGATGGCTGTTGAATTGTATCTCTGGCTGTGGTGTTCACTGTAACTCGTTTCACAGCTAGCTGTATGGCAGGGTATGTTTGGAAGCTTTCCTGGGGGTTGCTCTGGTGTTTTGCTGTAGGGTCAGGCAGACTGATCTTGGGGTAGCAGACATAAACCAGCAGAGAGCTCTTCAGTAGAGAGTTGCCACCGCCGCTGCCGCAGGTAAAAGAGTGACTGTGTTCTTGTGATGATTCTCTTTTTTACTTCATATAGGCAGATAAGAGTAAAAATTGTGGCGTTGACAGCTCACCAGAAAAATGTTTAAGGATATTTGGAGCCGAACTCTTTAATATGTCTGTGTCACATCCTGCATATAGAATCACACAATTTAGGTTGGACAGGACCTCTAACAGTCACCTGGTCCAACACCTTCCTCACAAAACAGGCCAACCTCAAAGCCTGTGTACTGTTACACGGGTGTAGCTGCATTGATTTGCAGCCCCAGAGAACTGTATTTGAGTATCTGCTCTTGGATATAAAGAATCTGGGTATTTTCTTTGTGTCAGTTCATATATTTCTGCTGTCTTCTCCTAAACTCTGGTTCTGCCAACCTTTGAGGTCCTTCAACATCTGACCAAGAAAACAGCAAGCTCTGGGTAACAGATTCAAACGGGAGAAAAGGTTTAGGAAGGAGCAGCAAAACCTGTAATCGGGGTTTTTACAAGGAGCTGTAGTGTTTCAGTTGCCAACAAAAACTGATGATTGATTTGTTAATTGTTGGCTGTGCTTATATCATGAAGATATTGCAGTTAAATACAATCAAGGATTATTTCTTTAAGGGCTCTTTTGAAATAGCAGAAGAAAGCTTCTGAGGGCCTGTGCCACAAGAAGGAGAGGAGGTATACTGCTTTAGTGCAAGTGGGAAGTGATGCAAAGGTGCACAAGAAAATTCTGAAACTGTGTAAAGCCTTGTCTGCTGCAGTAACATGTCTAGTTTACCCTGTTCGTGCTAGTCCACTGGGGATCACAAATGTACATTGCAGTTTCTCTCTCATTGATTTGAATCATCATATGTCTTCTCGTAACAATTTTGCAGTCATTTGAGTTACACTGTGGTGATGTCTTCTGTGATGATGATGATCAGTTTGTTCTGTAATCATCCATGGTATTTTGTTTTAGAGAGATAGAGCTGTCAGCTTTTCGATAGCAAAAGCAAATGAACAATATCTGAGCCTGCAAGTGGATGAATTTGGTAGTGATTTTTAAGTGTAGTTAATTTGACCTTTTCTGAAGATGTTTAAACTGCTGATGGCAGCTGGATGAAGTTGGCTCCATTGTGTCAGCAGTGCTGGGAGTCTTAACTAGTGCATTAACAACCCTGGGAAATGATGCAAAAGTTTTTATAGCATAATGTTTGCTTAGCTGTAATGCAGAGCTCTCTAAGTAGTCATACAGGTCATACAAAAAGCAAATGGCAGGCAGCTGACCAGGAGTGAGAAAGAGAGTGTTCCTTTTCTCAGACTATTATCAAATCGTGTTGTGGAAAGGTGGCACAAGAGCGTTTCAAGAGGATTTGGAAAGAAAGCAACTGAAAGTGGCTTTAAATCCTGTCCTGGGATCTGAGGCTTAAATCCTCCAGCCCTGCAGCTAGTCTTAAATGCAGTGTTTCTTCTTGCTTGTAGTTTGCAAGTCTTACAGTTTGCTTTGTGACTACTAGCAAACGAAGCTGAAAGAAAACGAGGTGCCTCTTGGTCTCTTGCGGAGTCACTGGGGTTCTGAAGGGTTAATCGGAATTGCCACATCAATTAACAAGTAGATACCAGCACGGTACTAGAGAAGAGCTGCAGGAAACTCTGGGCAGGGAGGCTTCCTGTGAAGGCACACCAGTGCAGTTCAGGACTGCCTTTCTCTCTTTAAGGGGGCAGGGGAAGAATTTGCTGTGTATGAAGCAGCCTGGGTCAGACTCACGGTTGTGTATCTCCAGCGTTGGTGTTCGTAATCAGCTTTTCTTAAAGATACCGCTGAAGTCTCGCTTTGCAGTGGTGTAGCTTAACGTGGAGGAAATCGGCCAAGCTAAATGGTTGTGCTAAGAAAAGCCAAAGGAATTGCCAAACTGCCGATTGAAGCGAGTCTGGAAGCGATGTGAACTTTGTGCCGTACCAATCAGCGCATCTCCCTCTAGCTGTGCCGCATCAGCAGTAGTGCCTGGATTTGGTGTTGCAGTGCTGACTGGATGAGTTTCACCCACGTTACAAAGCTGGTTGGAGACAAGTGTTATCAAGCTTAGCCCTTCAGCAGGGAGGCTGTGGGAATGTTGTGGGTCAGTTCCTTTGGCCTAATTCTCCTTGATTTTTGATGTGCTGTCATTTTTGTTCGTTTTTTCAGGCATTCCGTAGCAAAGATTCATACGTGCACGCCACTTCTGATGCTTTACAAGTGTGTTCTTAAGTAGACAGTAGTCCTTCAGAAGAACTTTCTTTGGTTCTTCCATCTAGGGAGTTTTCTTGTCATCTTTTTTATATTTAGAATTAAAGCTTCTCTTACTCTGGCTAAAGTGGTAATGAAAGAAGTCATCATGAAACGGCAAGAGAGTTCAAGAATCGCGGAAGATTTTTAGTCTTTCTATTTAAAGTAAAGTGCCTTAGAAACAGCTGGCAGAAAACTTTAAGAAGTTGGTATTGTTACTTTGGAAGTGTTACTTCCTTTAATCAAATTGTACGCTTCTACTTTGTAGTGATTCAGTAAAATTTGGGGGGGAAATAGGGTATACTTCTGAGGCTTCAGGGAGTATTATAGATGTTCTGTGGCACTTTTGGGCTTTCCTTCTATTTTAGAGAGATGGGTGAGGTATTTTGGTTGGTTTGTTTGTTTGTTTTAAGATGAGGCTTTCATTTCCAAGTCTTATGTGAGTAACTGAGAATTATTTGAGACCTAAACAGAATTAAAGCACTTTGTAAGCAAGAACTGTGGCAAGATATCTAAAATCATGATATAAAGCTTGCTTTATGTAACACTTGTCAGAGGCAAGATTCAGGACTTCCTTATCTTTCTGACAGCTCTGCCAAAAGGCCAGGAAACAAAATACTACCTCTGAATTCTGAAGGAGTTTGACATCATGGTTTCTCTTGGTTGATTTTGAAAGGCAGCAGAGTGCAGCAAGAGACAGGTAGATGCTGCCTCTGCCACCACCTCAGGTACCAAGAAGTGGCACAGATACTAAACCACCAGGAAGGTACTAAATGGCGTGAAGTTCCTTATCACTGGAAATAGGATGGTTGTGGGAGAAAGCTTTTCCTTTCTGTTCCAGAGGACAAAAAGTAAACGATAAGACTTGCAAGCAAGTAAAACATGTCTAGGTCATCATGGAAACCAAGTTTCTAAACAAGACGTATCATTTTCTGTGCCAAAATGCTTTTCATAACGGAGCTGCATAGCTAAGTGGAGTGAATGCTCCTTTTACAAGGGGAATGTCCTAGAGTTGTTTCATTGAGTATGTTGCATGTAGTAGAAATACATCCGTGGACTCAACCACCTTGATACAATATAGGGATGTGGTTTTGTGCAGCCTCCTATGGTGAGCAGGTAACTGAAGCCAGCCAGTGAGAGGAGCGAGGGCTGCCAGTTGCTGGAGAGTCTGGAAATCAAGTAATCAGTGATCCTTCACCTCTAGAGATAGCTTCCTCTTAGAGAGGAAGATCTGGTGACTTTGACTTCATGAAACCTTCAGCTTCTCTTAAGAATTACTGTTTCAGGGAGGATTCTGCAACTTCGGTCTTTTTGCTGCACCAAAGCCTTCACTGTAGAAAGTAAACTTTGTGAGTGGAGCTTTTGTTATTAAATGCTCTCTAAGGTCAATCATTTGCATGGTTATAGGCTGTGGTGAGTGCTTCTGTCCTGTGTGATGTGGTACTCAGAACTGAAAGCTGTGCTTTTTTGGTTGTGAAGATGGTTCTGCTTTTCCCATGCCATGTGACCTACCACCCAGCCCCTGTTTGCCTTTAATCTTGGATTAGTCTGGAAATGCAAATGTAAATGTGGGTAAGAATCCCGTGACCAGGGGCTGTTGGCCAGTGCTGACGGTCTGGTTGCCTGAGGTGGGTTCACCCCTGGTGTCATGGAGGTGGTCAGCCTGTGGCTTGGACGTTTGCGCAGCTGTCAGGAATTTGGGATGTGGCTTCCATGGTGCAGCTATTTCATGTGACTGCTTATGTGAAAGCTGCTAGATTGTCCTGACGGGAGGAGGAAGCAAGAAAATAGGCTACTGAAACAAGTATTATCAGCATGTTTCGTAGACCTGAATGGCATGTCCAGCTCAGCACTCCTCTGCGATGAAGCAGAGAGACCTTCAGGGAACTTTACTCACTTGGTCTGCGCGTAGCTCCACTCCTGGCACCTGCCTTAGCTTTCTGACATACATTACCTGGTTTTGACCACAGTGCTCTGGTAGGGGTCAGAAAGATTGGACTCTGGGCTGCAGGAACAACCAGCTGCTGAGTGAAGCTACTCATTCTCTTTGCTGAAGTAGTTGTGTCTTACCACCTGATCTAAAAGAGACTAGAAATTGGTTTTGATGCAAAATGCGCTTTCCATTTGTGCAGGATGGATCAATCCATAGACAGGATCTTGTTTCTGCTGCTGTGATGTTTCTGAAGAGAAACCTGTGAGTGAACTCCCAGTGTTTCCCTTGCATTTTGCAAATACTACTTTTTTTTAAAAAAAAAATTCTACCCACTAAAATAGTGATGTTTCTGTGCTTAATCCTTAATAACTTAAATTTTCTATATTGTCTGCTCTGCAAATCATGTCTAAGACGTGGGTGGCTTCTCCGTAGGAGGCATAAGTAGTAAAGGAGACTGTGGAATTACTCCCCACTGATTATCTTTGGGTACTAATAGTGGAATAAATGCTACTATATCATAGGGAAGTTCAGTAGTGACCAGCCACCAGTGCAGGGCTTCTTTGTTGTCTCTGAGTTGATGGCATCGTATGGTTTGGACAATTAAAACTTTGCATGTAGAGACATGAGACTTGAGTTCTTAGTGACAGAGGAAAAGGGACTTGAGTTTCTTGCTTGACCTAGGCATTTACTGCGTTTGACTCCAGGTTATGAGGCCTGATTACGAAGATGTCAGTGCAGACCACAGTAGACATTTCAGCTCTGAGGTTGTAGCCAGCTTTCAGGGTAGTTGCCTTAGTCTCACAAAGCAGGACTTTGCTGTGAAGCAATTGTGTACATTAGGTTCTCATGGTGATGTTTTATATGCTAAGCTGCAGATGCAATAGGGTGCAAACCAGTGTGAATAACGCGTTAGATTTTGAGCAGGATTTTTCTGAAATTTTCTCTGAAAATAAATCCTGTAATTTGAGGATTTCACTCTTACCTCATCTCTGCTTTGATAAATTGGGTGAAATAGGGCTATTGCGAGCACCTGCTTACCAGGTCATGGCTGCTTCATTGCCAGGACAAAACATTGTCCAAAGCTGCATGGTTCAGTAGCCTGTGTGGGGTGGTAGTGAGGTGCAGCGTGGTTATTTCTGTTAGGAATAATTTCATCTCTGTGTGAGTATCTACATCTGGCTCCTCCACGAAAGGATTAAAATTCTTAACTTTCTCTATTGTTTTCTTTTCCTCTCTACACAGGTGGTTTTTTGGAAAGATTCCCCGAGCGAAGGCTGAAGAGATGTTAGGCAAACAGAGACACGATGGTGCCTTCCTCATCAGGGAGAGTGAGAGTGCTCCTGGAGACTTCTCCCTCTCAGTCAAGTAAGTAATGCCCAGAAGCAATCATGTGTGGTAATCAGACCATCTACTGCTCCTTGGGGCTTGTGAGTAAAGGGCAGGTGATTGTCGATGCTGAGGAGCAGGAATAATCTTCCAGGTGCCCTATAGCATTCCTGTTCTTCCAGTGGTACTTACTTATTCCCACTCAAATAGAACGAATATATATGCTCTGGTTTGTAATGAGCCTACAGGGCTGACCTGGTGGCACGTTGCTGTCTGGCCCATGTAGTCCCAGGCCCTACCTGTTGGTTGGTTTGTGGTTGCCGTTCCTCTTCCTTAGAGCCACAAAGTGCCCGGGGTGTGCCTGTTTTCTCCCATCCTCCTTTATTCATTTTCTGCAGCACGAGTTACCACTCTGTCCTCTCTCTGTGTGGTACATTTCCAAAGACATTTTTCGTGTCTCCTTGGCACATGCTTTGGGGATATTCACCTTGTCTGACACTGGGACACGGAGCTGTGGAAACAAAGGCCTCTTCGGTCTCTCGCAAGTGCATTCCATGTTGGTAGAGAAACTTGGTCTAATAACAGTGAAGTGAGGAGGAGCAGTTCTCATCCTTCAATAACCTCACTAGAAGTCCTGGCTGTTAACCAGCAGGGGTTCCTGCTAGTTAGCCATGGCCCACATAATACCGTGCTACCTATCTTGCCCATCTGAAGTCACTGTAAAATAGAGGTATTAGAAACTTGGAAGGGTACGTGACATAATTTAACGTGGGTTGGGGGTGGGAGGGATTCTGTCCTCAGCAGTTGATTTTGCTTATTTTTTTAGAGTTTCTGTAATCTTCCCCTTTCCTACCAGAAATGAACAAGATTGTCTTTAGAATCCTGACGACAATTTTTTATTATTCGTGCACAATTCCTAGTTTGCTCTGTTTTCTGTGGCTACCAGTGGTTTGTCTCAACAGGATTGGGTTTTTTTTTCTGGTCATCTTTGGTCTGTAACCAAATTTTTGTCCTCCTGTGCAGCAGCACTGAGTCATGCCAACAAACTGGATTAAAGCCACTGATTTTAAAGATGTTTATATTTCTCTCTTGGATACAGTCATCTGAGCTGGAATACTAAATATGAATGGAAGCTTCATTCCAGAAAGTACATTCCTTTCAGAAACGTAGTTAGGATAGCACAGCTCTGCCTGCTTGTTAGCTTAGTGTTGCCATCTGGTGGTAGTTGCTCAGTTGATATTTGTTCCCGTTTGTTTAATTTAGAAAAGGCTTTTTCCGAAGCTGTGGTGTGCAGGGTTTGAAATGGTGAGAAGCTCTTGGGTTGAGGAAGGGAGAGGAGAGGCAGAACTCATGAGTTGTTTCACACTAGCTTTGTGAATAGCATCTACTTTTTCAGCCAATGTACAGAAGCTGCTCATGCCAAGTGGGGAACAGTTGTCTTCTGTTGTCAGTGTTTTAGACTGAAGTAAAAATACTGATGTGCCATTCATCTGGAAAATCCCAATGGACCTCTTCAGAGTTCCTCTTTATTCAGAATAAAATTGTTGGAAAAGTAGCTTCAACTGTATGCCATCGTTTGTCAGAAAGAACTGTTAACACAGAGTTGAAGTTGCTGTGTTACGTGTGCAGCATCACCTTTCGAGCGTTGCGGGGGTTTTGTTTTGTTTTGCTCTTTCAGGACCAGAGACATCCTTTTGTTTTGCAAGACACTCTTTTGCGTAACTCCAGACTGGCTGCCAAAAGAGGCAATCCTACCCTCCCTGTGGCAGTGTTTTCCCAGCAATTTACCTACAAGAGAAATGGTGCTTCTGTATTACCTCATCACGCGCAGGTGCTTGTGTATTGCATCGTCACGCGCACCCAGTGGTGCTGTGTGAGGGCAGGACTGAGACACTGAGAAGGACAGAACCATAGCAAGAGCAGCACGTTGTGAAATTGCTGCGTGTGAAGAGCTAAACCGAAGGGCTTGTACTGTGTGACTTCAAAATCTTGGATTTGGGAATGTGAAGCGGAAGGCACCACGGTGCAGCTACTTTGATATGAGCTTGTACTTGTACTGCAAAGCCCATGGCGTGTCTCTGGGTATGCTGTGCACTGTCCTCAGCGACTCAGGTGACTGTATACGTACACCAAGAGTTACACGTACTGGATGCCAGCTATGTGGCAATGCAGTATAAAATAAAAAACTGAAATCCTGTGTGTCATCCAAGATAGTGTGTTGTGGCACATCCTTTATGAAAAGACCTCAAACTTGAGCCAATTGAGAGCGGTACGTACAGCTGGTTTTAAACTGAAGTCCTGTTGTAAGAAAAGCACGTGTGAAGCTTGCAAGATTTTTTCAGCATAAATTCATTATTTGGATTCTGTCTCTCTGATCACTGATTTCTGTAAAATACAATTGACAAATGTTTTTTCAGACATCTTTTTTGCAGCAGCCAATTAGTATCTGTATTATCAGCATCGCTGATGGTTTTCACTGTGTCCTGAAGGACCTTTTTGTACCAAACTCTGTGCTGACGATCCCAAAAGAGGAGCGCTCAGTGACTAACAATGTGCTTTTTTTGTGTTCTTCATTTTTTCCACACAGGTTTGGAAATGATGTGCAGCACTTCAAGGTGCTTAGAGATGGGGCTGGCAAGTATTTCCTCTGGGTGGTGAAGTTCAATTCTTTGAACGAGCTGGTAGATTATCACAGATCCACATCTGTTTCCAGGAACCAGCAAATATTTCTCCGGGACATTGAACAGGTGCCACAGGTAAGAGAAGTGTCCAGTCTGCAGTGGGATTGCATCTTAGAGTAAATGAACAGGGATGGAAGGAAGCTGACTGACATTTTTCTTGTCTGTGGAAGTGTATCTAGATCCTCCAGCCAGAACTGGTAAGCAAGCTGGATGTTTGTGCAAAGCCTGCCTGCCAGCTCCCTAGTCTCCCTTTCAGTTCTGGCAGTGTTATTGCTGCTGCTGGAACATTTGGCTTGTCTTCACGTTTTTGGATACTGTTGTGGGAAGATCATCTGAATCCTGTAGATTAAAAATGGGTTTACTCTTGTTTTAGGACATAGTAAGAAAGGGTAGTTGTGTTTATACCGGTTCATAGCCACAACTGTATCCCTCAGTAGCCAGTGAAGCTTAGGTACTGGTCTTCCCTGAAGAGGTGGTTGCAGGTGGTAGCAACATCTCTAGCCTTCTGGTTTGGATCTAGCCAGTGTTAAGAGAAACCAAAAACTACTGCTAAGTGCCAGCAGGGCAGCTTGGGTGTATCTAGCTCTTTGTCTTGTTCCATTCCCGGGGCAGTTGGAATGTTAGGTTGCATTTAACTGGATCTTTTGTCAATTTTGTGTAAATCCCTTTGCTTCCATGTGCAGCATTCTGATTCTAGCTTGAAGACAAGGGGTGTGGAATTTGTACTGCTCTCCAGGTGCCGTGGGCACTCTTTGCCACAGTTTATCTGAATTCACATCTGGCTCCGCTGTCGGGTCAATGATAAACAGAGGATGAGGAACCAGCTGGCTAAAAATGGCAAGCATGAAGATACCTTCCTAGCCTCTAGCATTTTAAGTGAACTGTTAGCTTTTCCATAGAATGGAAGTATCTGCCGGGCAGGTGAAATGCTCTGTGACAGAATTTCTTGATATTGGAGAGGTTTAAGGCAAACGTGTAAAATGCCAATGTCCAGTTTTTAGGGGGAACTTTGTGTGTCACAGATCAGTAATATTGATGCTGCCAGTTGGTGAAAACAGGATGAATTGTATTGCAATAGAGTACAGGTTTACAGTAGGTCATGAAGACTGGAAAATACCAGGAAAACATCTGAGTCATCTGCTGTCTTTATTTCAGCTCTTTCACAGAAGCTTGACTTTTTCGGAGATCTTCTATAGACTATGCTTTCCTATTTTAGCATCTTGTTACAGATGTCAGAGGCTGGCTTGCAGGGAAACGAAACAGCCCAAATGTTTATTGTTAAACTCCAGTGTAAGTCAAGCTCCTCTCTGAGGGAGCAGGTGTCTTGAGTGCTTCTCACTTTGTGTATCTTTTTCTTTCCCCTTTCAGCAACCAACCTACGTTCAGGCCCTGTTTGATTTTGATCCCCAGGAGGAAGGAGAGCTGGGCTTCCGTCGTGGAGACTTTATCCAAGTCCTTGACAATTCTGACCCCAACTGGTGGAAGGGAGCCTGCCACGGACAGACGGGCATGTTTCCACGCAACTATGTGACCCCAGTGAACCGGAACATCTAGAGATAAATATTAGAGATTATTTAAAGAAACCAGAGAAACAGTAAATACACATACAGAGCCTAACTGCAGCCAGTGACCTAAAATCACACGGCGATAAAACCTGAGTCACCTTTCACCGTGAGGTGATCCTCCTTCACTCAGTACGGAACTTCAGGGGTGGGGGGGGGTGGGGGGGGGAGAGGTCGACTTACACACCAAAAGAAGGAAGAAAAAAAAAAAAGAGAGAGAGAGAAAAAAATGAAAGTAACAAATTTCCTCAGCTGCTCCTGGGTTACCCCCTTTCATTCACTCTTCTTGTTTCCCCCTCCTCCTCTGTCCATCAGTGCATGAAGTTTTAATGCCATATAAAGTCCTAGCCATGCAGTTAAAGGAAAAGGGAGAAACTCTGCTGGTATTTTCTCTCTCTGCAAACGGTCTTCATTTGACATGAAGGGACATGAGAGAAGAACCAAATCCACAGTCCTGCCTTTAAAAAACAAAACAAAACAAAAATCATCAGTCTCTGCTTTTGCCTTCAACATTCAGCTCTTCTTGCCTGGGAAGGATGAGGTGTTAATCTAATTTTTATTGTCTCTTCTCCTTTGGCACTTTCTTCTGAAGCTCAGCAGCTTCCAAGCAGGGGAAGGGAGAAGAGTTGTGTGGCTTTTTGTTCTGGGTTTTTTTTTTTTTCTTTTCTTTAGAGTCACAGAGCTGCTTTGAGAAACTCCAACATACAACTGAAGTCTGCTAATGCTGTGCTGACAGGTTTTTGTTTTTTCTTAAAGGTGTACGGTTGAGCACATTCTGTAATTTTTTCCATAGTGCCTTTCCCTTATTTTCTTTTTTTTATTATTTTTTAAGTTAAAAGGACAGTCCAGAGCCTTTTGGAGGGTTTTTTTTTCTGCCTATGTGTAAATAAATATTTTTGGGGGAAGGGTGTAAAGGAGGGTGGTTTTATCAATGGACACTTGAGAAAAATCTACAAACAGAGATGGAGCTTTAATCTTAAGATTTGTCTTACTGTTCAACTTCCCTTATTCCAAGGAAAATAAAATCAAGGCATTCAAATGGCAGCTTAGGCTGCTCAGAGGTGGGGAGCTGCAACCAGGAGCCTCGAAAGAAGTAAGAGAAAGGGGGAAGTTATGACCAGGGAAAATGAGGAAGAATATTTTGGGGAGGGAGGGGTAAGGGGGCGGATTTGAGAAACAATAGCCCTGAGATGTCCTACAAAATGTACATTCCTTTGATGGAAAACTTTATAATGCAGAGAAACCTCAAGAAATAGTGCTTGAAAAAACTTTATGCTATTAGTGAATGTTTCTACGTGATGCATGTAATCAGCCTGTCTCTTTGGCCTGGATAGGGAATATTTGCAGTCGTGTTGCTCTTGAAAAGTGGGGTTGGCATCACTGTTCTCCAGTTTCTCCTCCCTCCTCAGGTCAGCGTTACCGTCGAAGTAGATCCCCCCCCGCCCCGCTCCCCATTCACAGCAGGCTGTGTGATGACTGTAACCCCCACCCCGCACCCTAATGGCATTGGTTATGGCCGTTTGCTCCTCCACCAGAGCAGCGTGACATTAAATTGGATGGGAAGGAAAGCAATCAAGCTGCACCGCTCTCTGTGCCAATCTTCAGTTGCGTTATTTTTCCTTTTGATGGCCATTTGGCTGGATCCCTTCACCCCACCAACGAATCCAAAAACTGCAGCGGAGATCTCCTCCCGCCCTGCCGAAGCACGGGCAATCTTTTGTTGGAGGGTGCCTTTTTTGTACTAAGTGTTACAAATGTTTTATTCCTGAGATGGACTCTGCCTTACACTTTAATTTTCCAGCAGATGAAAGAGAGAGCTATCCTGTAGAGTATTACTTTCTCCCCCTCTCCTTGCTAGCTGTCACTCACTTTCTTCCTTCTTCGTAAAGTGATTGGAAAAGGAATCTATGGCATTCTACACCTGGACCATTTGATTGTTTCCTTATTTTGGAATTGGTGTATATCATGCAGCCTTGCAGACATATGTCTTGTGTGTGTATATATATTAAAAAAAAAAAAATCAGTGTTTAAAATAAAAAAGGCCTATGTACTTAATCCTTTAACTCTGCAGCAGCATTTGGTAGATAGTAATTAACTGTGAATAATAAATATACATTGAATTCTTCACTCGAGCATCTGTCTGTTATTTCAGTTAACTGACAAAAACACGACTGACTGAGCTAATTTATACGATGTTAAATTGCTGTGGGAGGGAAAAGCTGTAAGGTGTGCTCTGGCCTGAAGCGCTCAGGCTCTTTGCTGTCATAGTTCGGTCTTGTCGTGCTTGGCTGGATTCATTACTCCTGAGCTAAGTCAACAGAGGGCCGTGTGGCATTAGGGATAGCGAGATGGGGGAAGGCATGATCACGTTGCTTCCAGGATTGAAGACCGTGTATCAGCTGAGTGGGAGGGAGGCACTGGAGTGTTTCTTCCCTTGCCTTTTTTCTAAGCTTTTCACCGAATTGCTCAAGTGCCCCTGTGGTACAGACTGTGATGTGGTAAGGAGCCAGTACTGGAGATCGGTACACCAGTTAGTCTTGCAGAAGGACGGAGGGGAAGACGGGCGTGTATGACTTGAGTCAGCACAGCAGCCGGGGCTCAGTCTGTCGTGGGAGATTTTGCTTGCTTGTGGATCGTTTTCACTTGTGCTGCCTGACAAAAGAGACCTGCTCCACTGTGCTGACAAGGTGTGCGGACAGCTCGGCGGGTTACCTGTCAGGCGCTGCCACGCTGCGGGCTCTGCAGCTTCTCCCCAGCCTTTGCTTTAGTTCAGAAAGTGCCTGTGAATTTTGTAGTCGATTTTAACACACAATAGGAAAAGGACCACGTGAGGGTTTGGGTTGTTTTTAACTTTTGCTTTGAGCTGTTACGCTCAAAGACAGATGTATTGTGGCACTTCAGGGCGTGGTTTAGTGGGGATGGTGGTGGTGGGCTGAGGGTTGGACTTGATGATGCCAAAAGTTTTTTCCATCCTTAATGATGGGATGATTCTGTATAGTCAGGGAGTTAGTGGTTGCTCAGAAATGCCTGGCTGTTCCTGGGATTAGTTCTTTCTCTGTCATTCGTGCTGGTGAGGTCAACAGAGAAATGATTTGCACTGTGGTTCAGCGCTCTTGGCTTTTTTGTAATGCTGTTAAGAACTGCTCAAAGTTGCGTGCTTGTGTCCCTGCTCAACGGTTTGGAAAATCTTCCTTTCCTGGTGCTTTACAGAGGGCGGGAAAGCGGCTGGTGCTGCTGCGGCT